GAGGAAATACAGTAATTTTTCAGGAGAGTGAGAACACTTCTGAATGTAGATGACTTATCATTTCATTCATTCTTGTTCTACATGTGCATGTATATTTTACATTATAATCCATCAAATATTTTCGCTCATATGCGATTGGTCTAAACACATCACATGACCGAATATTCCCCGGCCAAAACTGGGGAATATCCGAAAATATTCCCCAATTTTCAAAACTGTTGCGAAAGAGATTTGAAGGATAATAAACACAATAGCCTCGATCCATTTCACACGAAAATATGCTCAGATATTTGTCCTTGGACATTATCTGTTCCTCCAAGCTCACAGTTTTCCTTGAGCTATGCTCTTGGAAAACTGTTCGCTTCTTGGAACAGAACTTAGTGCGAGGTTTTTTTATTAGCGTTGACAAAAAATGTACATCTATTTACGTGGTTTGGAGTGACCGTCTCCTTTAACAATTTCAAAACAACAAACAACAAAATTCATTGTAATCCAATGAATTTTTATTGACATGCTGAACAAAAACTCTGCTGTTGTGGCCACAGTGTCTTGATAAATTAACTGCTAAGAAAGTGAATATAATTTGGCAAATTGATAATTGAGTAACTGCTAAATTGAAGATACCTTATCAAAACATGTTAAGGACTGATTGATTCTAGCAGTGGTTGTTACAGTTGACAACTAGAATAAAATTATTGAGTAACTAATATTACTCTCTGAAAAGCTGTTTTACAAATTCTATGGTTTGCCTGTAATTTTTTGTGAAGAATTCTTTGTTTATGTTTATTCACATTCTTCTCTGAGGTGTTATCCACTTTCAGTGAATTTATTTAGAATGAATGTTATTGTTTGCAATGTCTGTTAGTTTTCATTTGACCTCTGTTTGGCTATGCATGTCTGTGGTATTTATAGTTACTGTACAGTGGCCCATTGGTACAAATATGACTTCACCATTCAGTTTATTTATTAACAATTATCCCTTCAGCACGAGTTTGAAAACAATACACTTTGCAAGTTACCCAAATCTGCGAAATACTTGGAAAATATGACGACCTGCAATGAAAAAGTTGAAATATTTTGCTTTGTTCAATCTGTTAATCACCAGTTAAGTGCAATGTGCAAGTGTTAAATGAATCGTTGATTGAGTGAAAGAAAAATAATAGTAACTGCACTTTGGTATTCAAAAGTTCTACAGGGCAGGGAGACGAGTGTTTTCAAGTTCCAAAATGTCAGTTGAGTATCACCTCAATCAAAGAGATTTAGTTTCGATTTCTACTGAATTCCAATTACTTTGACAATAAGGCTTTATCAAAACGAATAATTAATGAGTAGAAAATGAAAATGGTGATTCCACTTTGCTATTCAGTGGTTTTATCATTGGCTTTTTATGGAGTTCAGAAACGTTGCGAGTTTTCAAAAAGATTTAATTTTCATCTCTTCCAAACTCTCATCACTTTGAATATGCAGATTCATTGCAATGCACTATTGACAAATTTAGAAATTTTATTTCTTTTTAAAACTAAACTCTCATACCTTTGTTTGAACTTTTGCTGAAGTGATACGTACAAAATAAATGTTAATTACCTGTTCCGTTTATTAATTCCTTTGAAATTAGGCTATGAAGTCTTGGTTGTTTTATGGTCCAGAACTCGCGGAAAATCCGTGAAAATAATTACACCCCATTTGGGTTCTGCTTTAAGTGAAGTCTCTTGCAAAACAATATGGGCCATTGTAAAGTTAGTGATATGAGGGTACAAGGAAATCGCTGCTGAAATGTAATGTATGTAATAAAGCTCTCACAACCACAAAGACGCACTACTTGAGGATATAGCTCTCTCTATATTTCGATAAATTTACACTTACAGGGAAAAAATAAAAAGGCACTTAATTTTCTTGAGGATTTAGCCATCACTAAACTTGGATACAATTTAATTTGTAATTCATGTTAAAATATTTATCTCGAAATACTGGAAACTTCTTTAATTCATACTTTACAAAATTAATTGTCTTGAAATATTGCAAAATTCTTAAAATTATTTGGAAATTTACTATCACAATTTAAAGTTGCATTAAATTATCTAGTCGTTGTTTTTGTAATCCCGTTTGTAGTGCGTCTTTGTAGTGCCTCATTTCATTGCTGTATTTGCAAGGCACAAAATGTACGTAGTTGCTCAGTTTGGAAAACGGCTTTTCTGGATTACTATTTTTTTTTCGGGACCAACGTTTTTGACGTCAACATCGGGCAAAAAAGTCATTGTCGCGTTCCGCGCGTTTTTAAAAACTTAGCATTTTCTTTTACCTGCTAAAATTTTATCGCAGGGTTTGTTGGTTATTTTCAAGGAGCTACAGTGAGTTACAGGTTCTTATCTCGCAAATTCGAGATTTTCAATCGCCCGTGCTTCTATTAAATTAGGACAGCCTAATTGGAGTTTACGATGTTACGCCTGTGAATCGTCTAGATTTCTGTAGCCAAATTATAGCGTGACATGCAAAGACTTGCGTCACGCTTTCGGAAAAACGTTCTTTGACAGTTACGCGCAGTGTGAATAGGGAAGGGCCAACTTACTGTAAATTTGAATTCTTGAGCAACTAAGTACAGTTTGCAACTCCCAAATACTACAGCGAAAACGCTATACAAGTACAATGAGAGTTTTATGGCAGACATTTTGTTTAAGTAGTGGTTTTCTTAAAAGCAGAACTTGGTTTGTGGTCCTCTTATTCAGTGTAATCTCTTACGCAACTAATCTCTTGATGTTTTCGATGGCGGCGTGACAAGTGCGTTGTATGAAACATCGGGTTGTTATCATACCGCGCAACGGACAGAATTTATGCGAAACAATTGCTACAGCGGTTGGAGAAAGTTGGAATTTAGTTCTACTTTCTGTGACCGTTGAAGCGACTTGCTTTGCAAACGTTTTGTCCGTTGCGCGTTGTGTTACACGGCTCGATGTTTCATTAACTTGTTACGCCGTTTTCGAGAAGATTGCGGGACAAGTTGCGTGACAGATTACACTGGATATCAGGACTTAGTCATGGACACAAGAGTTTACCTGGTTAGTTATGATGGACCGCTGGTAAAAACTACAACACACAAAACTGTCTCTTTGTCTCTTTATTTGCGTTTTTATTGTTAAAAAAAAAAATAAAAAAAATCTAGCCGATCTTGTCCCTGCTTGTCGGGTTGTTTTCACTCTGCTCTGAGTCAAAGTGTTTCTTCAGTTCCTCTTTAATATTCCAACTTTAAAATCCTGGTATGTTTATCTGCTCCGCCATCTTTGATGACGACACTTGACCACTTAAATGATATGGCCGTTTGCTCTCAAGTGGAGATGGCATAATGAGGGAGGTGAGAG